TTCTCCCCGTGCTTGTGTGGGTTTTCTCCGGGTATTGTAGTTTTCTCCCACATTTCAAAACCATGCACGGTAGGTTAATTGTTCACTCCAACTTGTCCTTTGGTGTGATTCTGAATGGTTGTTGGTTGTCTAAGTGTGGCCTGCGATTGGCTGGCAACCAGTTCAGGGTGTCCTCCGCCTACTATCCGAAGACAGCTGCGATAGGCTCCAGCATGCCCGTGACCCTCGTGAGCATAAGCGGATTAGAAAATGAATGAATGGAATATTTTGGCGCGCATGAGACTTAAGAACATGCAAACCTCACACAGGAAGGCTAGGGCCTTGAACCGAACCCTGGACTTCTGTACTGACTTGCTAACATCAACAAATATGGTCATGCTGTAGTGCCTCAAAAACTGACCAAATCGGTGCTTCTGCGACCAAATGAAAAAGTTGAAAACTCCCTCAGTGTAGGTCTTTCTTAAAAATAAGGTAAAGTGCCAAATAATACAATTCTGTCCCTATTTATTTCTCTGCATATGCCCCCTTAAAACTCACATTATAAGCAGTTGTTATGGATAGTGGTTGTTATAGTCTCAAATGTCTCAAATCAAGTATCAGAAGGTGTTTTTGATTTCAATCTGAGTACCAACATGTTGTGTTTTTGTTTTTTTTCTCTCTTCTCTCTCTTTTCTCATCCTTTGCAATTGCTGTTTATTCTCTCTTCCTTTTTTTCTCTCAGGCCCTCCAACTGGGCATCAGAAGGTAAATATTGGATTGTTTAAAAAGAAAAATAACAATTCTTTTCTTTTTCTTTTTGCTCAAGGCAACACGAAGCGTGCTGATGACATCACAGCATTTTAGCGTGTGATGATGTAATCTGATTACTTAAGCGTTCACATTGTGCCGACTTGCACATGTGCTCCGAATGGCTAACACAAAGCGTTTGGAGTGGAGAGAGGGGGGAGCTCCATGGGGGTGAACTCTGACCTCTTAAAGGGAGCAGAGGGGGTGCTCAGACTGGCAAGCAAACACTTGGTTGTCCAGATGCTAAGACCATTCTTGGGTTATTTCAATTTTATTCAGCTAACATTTCAACTATTTTTCCTCATCATTCTTGTTTTCCTTTTGGACCAAATCAAGTCAAATTTATACAACCCTTAACCGCAAAAGAGTCTCAAAGGGCTTCACAAGCCCACAGTTGACAAATATTAATGTCATTTTAGTGCTCACTTTGAGTTGCGATATGACGCCTGCATACAATTCAAATTCAACAGTATGCACAGGCATGTTGTTATGTAATAACAAGTCAGAAGCTGACGATTTACTGACACCTTTTGCAACTCTGGCTCATGATGTGACACCTTAATGCATGTCAATACAAAAACAGTGTTGTTATGCAAAGCCGATAAGGAAAGAGGCAGTTTCCCTACTTTAACACACACTCATACACGTACTCCTCAGCTCAATTAGTCACAGAGCAGTAGTAGCAGCAGCATTAGCAGCACCAGCAGCAGCAACAGTGGTCCGGGGCGCACCTCCCCCCCTACGCACCATAAAAGGCAAAAAAGGGGTGGAGGACTAGATGCTAACTTGCTAAAGACGTCCTGTTGTGCATTGTCATTCCATTTGTTACACACAAGCGCATAAAGAGAAAGCAACGTGGCAGCATCACATGGCAGCAACCAACAGCCAAAAACAGCGTGGGGACCTTTGAACCCCCCCCATCCCCAAACACACACACACACACACTCACAGATGTGCTCATTTGTGTAAACACAGTATCACACATTAGGTCAACCTAGATGAAGATGCACAAGACATTGAAACATGAACCACAATCTAGCTGACGTACAGAGCAGAAGGACACTGCTGATTGGCTGAAAAAGAAGTCACGTGACTCCAAAGCAGGAAGTTAAAGCACAACACACAAGCAGGACACTAATAGTGTTACAAAGTGTCACTGGTCAGCTGAAGCCTATCCCAGCTGACTGGGCGACAGGCAGGGTACACCCTGGACTGGTCCCCAAACAAATCTAGAGAAGAAATGCACAAACAATAGACTGGTCACCAGTCAATGTCAGGGACCGTATAAACAAATAACAAACTGGTCGCCAGTCTGTAAGGGCTCAGAGACAAACAAGCATTCACGCCGACAGACAATTTTGAGTTGCCGATGAAGCTAACATGCTAGCGTTTTGTTTTTGGAACATGGATGGACTCAAGCATGGGAAGACAACATAACCATTGAAACTGCTGCCACAAAAGTAAGCCACATTAGGTGAAATAGCTAACCCAGCGTTGGGTCCCCCTGCCCCATAAAAAAAAAAGACTGAGCCAATTGTATGTGGGTTTTTTTTCAACAGGTTTTAGACGATCAGGATTTTGGAACAGATCATTGAGTTTTAAAAAAAAAAAAAAACAATCTGATCAAAAGATGAACCAATAAACCCAATCTCGTGAACAGACTTGTTTATTTACTGTACAGTCGAGCCCCACTATTCGCGGGGGGATTGTGGCCCACCTGGCCCACATATAGCCAAAATTGGTGTTTAATTGATGCCCAGTGAAATGCATTAGGGAGAAAATAAACAACAATTAAACCCTAAAAATTCTGACCAAAACACTACGACATGGAAAATTGGATGGGGGGGGACTCTGTTGTAACCAACCCACCTCCCCCAAAAAATACAAATTATTTGAAAATATTGGAAAAAATAATTTAAAAATATGATTGTATATGCTGAGCTTGCATGATGGCAGCACATAATATTCCTGGAGTGAATAAGACCGTGTTTGTTGTTATGTCTTATTTTGCACTCAGATCAGCAAATTATGACATTACAACCGATCACCGATTTTGTATAATATGTCAAATATCTGCCGATCAGATCTGTGTAAAGTATAGGCTAGTCTAAAATCTTGTTTTACACCAGATGCCCTTGCTGGAAGAACCCAGCCATTTTCCATGGCTGCCTTGACTGGGATTTGAACCCTGAACTTGAGTTCGAAATCAGCAGTGTCAGCAAGCTATGCGGCCACGACAGACATTTTCTTGAAATGTTACATTCAATTTTGTTCAGCTTCAGTACACGAAACTCAATAATGGCGATCAGTTTCAGCCCACACAAATCCAATCTGCAACCCAGTCTGCTGAAAATACACAGCTATCCAGCGAGAAAATTCTGAACTGAGTCATTTCTAAATTAACAATTGGATTTTTTTTCTCACATTTTAACCTTGTGTTATCCTGTACTTTCATAAACATAATGTATGTCCTCATGTTAAAGTTTTTAAAAATCGTGATTTTATTGTGTGACATATTTTTTAGACTGTCTTGTTTTTTTTTTATCAGTAATTTTACTGTTTTAGCCCAAAAGCATTTTCCCAGATTATTTCATTCATTCCTGTAACACTATGACTTTAAGTAGCATTTGAACCCTGACACAATATTTTTAATCCTTTTTACAATGGGAAATAATATTTATAATTTTCTCGCACAGTTGTGACATATTTATGCCTTTTACCGATACTTTGCATTAGTAACACAGAGCTAACAACTAATAGTCGCTATATTTAACACGCAAATAATCAATTGTCAGTCATGCGGAAGCGAACGTCATTCTTGTCTATGACGTCATGTGATTTACGTGGTTTCCACAATGATCTACAAATCAGGTCACCATCATCATCCTCATCATCACCATCAAATGGCTTCGCCTCGTACATAGAGATAAAAAGGGGGGAGGCGGGGGCAACACCTGCGGCCATGACAGCACCTTGAGCGCACCCCCGCCTACCCCACACCCACCCGTGCCCTGCGCCGCGTCTTCCCAGGACCATGAACGCACCACACGCGTCACAAACAACCTCCCAAAAAGGCACCTTGGTGGAGGTTTGGCATCACCTGTGCGGCACGACGGAGCCAAGCGAGCCTCAAGCCGGGAAGAGGAACGGGGAGAGGGATCCCGACCCCACCCCAACCCGCCTCCCTCCACTGCAGTGACGGCCGCCATTGAGCCGATAAAAGTGCGAATGAACCGCACAGCACAATGGACGCCGAAGCACAACGCGTGGAGTAATATTTTTTTTTTTGCGCAAACTAAACGCGCAACATAAAAAGGGAGTCGAGGAAATTGAATCACGCACAACTGGGTCACGATAACATAAATCCCGCGAGAGTACAAAAGCAAAAAAGAACAAGAATAAGAGGGGAGGGAGAAAAAAAAGCATCGCTACCTGCGCAGGTTGTCATTTGCAGCCCCTTGTGCGTGTGTGTGTCCAGGTCCTCGCGACACGCACGCCACGAGATCCGCTTCCGGTCGAGCTTCAGCAGGTATTCTTTTAATTCTTCTGATTTCTAAGCCATCGCCGAGCCGCCTTCAGGTAAACATGAGCAGGAGGAGGATGAGGAGGATGGTGATGATGATGGCTCCTGGACGGACGCACCGTCCTGACGTCATCACGACAGGAGAGAGGGGGGAAAGGTGTTCTCCACCCCCTCCCATCCACGCGCGACTAACGGTCCCTATTATTAGCAGGCTAATGTCAGCACAGCGCGCAAAGTACCACACTGTGTGTTTTTCGACTCAAAACCCTCGCCGAATTTACAGGTGCGTAAAGTAGTTGCTACACGATGCCATGTGGTCCAGTTTCTGTGGCGTGGACAAGCACTTCCACGTGGGTTTGCGTAGAATTAGCGGATTAGTTAAACGAGCCCGGTGTGAGCGATGACGCCGAAGATGAAAGTATTCCCACTCTTGTTTTTGCATAATCAGTTCCACGCTTACCTTCAACAAGGCAACATTTGGTGCAGCAGCAGGGAGGAGGAAGGGAGGAAGATGAGGATGAGGAAGAGGAGGAGGAGGAGGAGGAGGGGGCGGGAAGTAGCCACGAAATAATAAACATCCCCATCTCTCTGCCATCATCACCAAACCTCGTGCGAAAACATCGCACTCGAGCAGTGACCGCTGGAGCCAGCCTCCGACCATCAAGGCGATACGAATCGAGTTGTCGCTACCCTGACGCAGCACTCGGACGGCCCTGAGTCGGCGGCCCTTCCGAGCCCCGCTGAGACTCGCTCGGCCCCGGCCCGAGCTTTCATCCGCTTGCCGTTAACAAAGTGCGCGCGAGCGGGGGGCCACGTTGTTGTGGAGAAAGAAAAAAAAGTCAACTACAAAAGTCCATAAAGTGGTTGAAATAAACCAGAGAAGTCACAAAACAAGCGCGCCTGACTTCTTGTGACACTTAACGGTTCAGAGAGAGTACCGCTAGGCGGAGGGAGAGACGCCACCCAGGTATAACGGTACCCCCCCCC